TTAATTAAAACAGAAATACACACATACATTTTTAAAATAACTATGTAGATTTTTGCTCTTAAACATTATTGGAAAACCTATCTTCTACGCACCTAACAAGTACCTAAACAAGAAGTACCTAAACACCATTAGAAAATCTATAACATTTTTACAAAATTACAAGAAGCGGGGTGGGGTAGCGCAGTGGGTAGAGCTTGAGACTTTTGATCCGGGCGCGGGCGGGCGATCTGGGTTCAGATTCATACGGGTGCCAAGTTTCTTTCTAATTTTTCTGAAATTAAAAATTAAATTGCATAGCCTGACAGTAATTCCCCACTCGAGCATTCACTGTAGGATTCTAATTAACAGTGCTGTCCATATATTGGAGCAGGGAGACAGTAACGAAGCCGACACACAATATGAGGGTAATAACCATAACAATGACATCTAAGAAAAAAGCAAGTAGAAGAAATATATCCTAATGGTGTACTACAATATATTTAACAAACCAAAACAAAACCAACTTAAATATTTTCGAAAATATCTATGAAAATCATCTCATTTAGGGTTAAATGTGTTCAGAAAGACCATGCTAAATACCAACATTAAAGTGGCCTTGATTAAATACTTAACAAAATTAAAGGGAAAACAAACTTCTTAAAGTGGTCTATCAATATCCATATCATTTAAATTATTTGCCATATCTCTTGACGGATAACGAATTCCTGGCTGATGCCTTCCATATGAAAAAAAATATATATATTATAGAGCAGACATGTCCACACATTTCTAAAACTCTTGCATCTGATTTTCAAAGACATGCCCAGCCAGTTATTGCGTTTACTCCAATTAGTTTGCTGTTATATTCAATAAAGCATTTTCTTTCGGTAGCAGCTTGAAACCTTGAAGGTATTGAGGCTCTTATCAGATTATCAATATTATCAATTTCGGCATTAGGTTGACGATGTAGTCTTACCAAATAGTTGCCGTTGTTTATATGTGATGACGTATAACTATACGATAATTGAATCTGGTATGTACCGAGTGTTAAGTCCTGAATTTCTTCTTCCGATAAAATTGGAAAGTCTTGAAGGTCAATAAATCCGTCTATCAGCTGCCAATCAATTTTACTTTGAATTAGGCGTTCATCTCTAATTCTGTGTAATAAACTATTAGAGAGAATCAAACGTTTCAAAACCTTGTCACATAATGTATCATCTTCAGGCCCACTTTCATTTATAGGCACAAAAAACGAATTGGATGAAGCAAACATTACTTTAAAAATACTTTCAAATGTTTCACATCCGTAACTATTTGGCACAACATTTCTTAGAAACCGAAACTTATTTTGAAGGCTTGTAATAAGTCTTGATATATTTGCTTGTTGAGTAGTTAGTTGACGTCGGCCGTTGGGAAGAAAAGGTGACATAAAAACATTTATTCTCATATTTTGGCAAAACTGCATCGAGTTTCGATAATCGCGATCATATACAATGCTGTCACCTTCTTGAAAAAATGAAAAAAATCCGTCCCCGTTAACAGCCACACCGTTAAATATCAACGAATCATAGTTTCTAGCATCTGAAGCATGCGGGCCGGTAACATCAACAATATATCCGTTTGGTGCTGTTAAAACCGAGAATTTAACTAAATTCGAGCGTTTTTGCAAAGAATATGTCATTCGGGGATGAAGATGATCTACAGGTTTTTCGTGGTACAAGTATGTGACATCAACAAGAGCTACCAATGAATCAGAATTAACGTGACACAAACTATTTGAGGTAGTGGTACTATCAGAAGTAGCGTATTCTTGACAAGTTATATGTTGGTAACCAAGATGAAAAGGAACAAAGTGAACTGTAAGTGAGTTAAGAACATCGTGGAATATTTTGCTAATAAGATATTGTTGCTTTGGTTTCATGCCAAACATCTTGTTTAAAACTTTTTGAATTGGATAATTTTTTAGTTTTATTAGAAAAATAGCTACGCAATTTTTTTTTGAAACTTGTCTTCTAGGTGTCAAGTTATTGCAGTTACCTACAACCGTTGCAAACTGCGCTTTACTTAATCCGATTAGGCACTTGCAATCGTCGTCCTCCATATTTTCACTGTCAAAATCGAATATCTTGCTTTTTTCTTCAAGAGCTACTACGCGATCAGTGAGCAGATTAATTAAATATTCATTGTCACCATGAGTAACCTGCCTAGGAGCAGCCTGCAATCGCAATAGAGCAACACGCTGCCGTTTTCAATGTCTACCTCGTCGTTGTACACATTTTCAATGATGGGAATAGGATCTTGTTGGATGTTAGGTTATCTTATTTTATTGCCTTAAGAATAAAACAAACAAGATTTATTATATTGCTACTATAAACATTGCTTTACTCTACCTTGTCGTCGAAATGTAAAATAGCATTGGGTGCAAATGCGCGAGTTTCCTCCAGGCTCTACCCAGTCAATTTCTCTGCTTGCTCGAATATTCAGTAGAAACTGCTGGTAGGTTTCATTGTTGGCCACTTTAGAAGTACTTTTTTTATTGATGTACCCATCGTACCCAAAACACTTTATTGGGGCCACGTAAAATTATCGAATATAGATACAAAAAGTGTAAAAATAAAAACGTATTCTAATTAAATAATAAACAAATTGTCACTCCTGACAATTAGTCATTAAAATAATTAAAACAAAACGTAGCCACATTGAATTAATTGACATTACTCGTTTCTAAGCATTTAAAATATTTAAATTTTTTTGTTAGAGATCGCCCAAATTTGCCTATCAAAAGCATACCCTCCTTACAGGTTTTATTTTTCTCATTGTTCTTCTTCTTTTCATTCTAGCCTTTGTTACATCAATTCTTCTCTTACTGCGTTTTTTCCTGCTATACTTGTTCTTTCTTCGTACATTATCTTTTACTGTATTGTTTCTTGCTACATTGTTCCTTACCATATATTGTTTCAGAACCAGAAACCTTCTAACCACTACTACTCCTGTTTTAGTTAAAAAACTGCACGCGACATATCAAACAAACAATCACTTATAAATTCCAAGGTACCTAATTTTTCAAAAAGTTAGAAATCTGAAATAACGAAGTCGAAGGGAAAATATTTAAATGTATAAAAGTTTTGTGTAAGTTTTCCGGTAATACACTTCACCTACCTATATACTTCATGGCCGTCGCGCCATGCCGTCCGTGGCTGTTCTAAACTTTTGGAAAAACTTTTAAATCTCAATCGGAGCCGATTGCTATTCATTCAACAAAACTGCAAAGACCGAAAGAGAGAGATGAGGTACTCGGTGTTATTCTGTCTCATATACAGTGGCGTGGATTACAAATTCTGCAAATTTCGTTTATAGGGTTTATAAGGAATCCAGATCCGAATCTTTAATTAATTTTTGAAAGTCGTATGAACAAGGGTAATTTTGATTTTACGTAAGTACTAAATTTCACACATCATTTAAACATCACACGGTTTTACAGCATTCATATAGAATCAAGAGTACAAAATAATGAGTAATAGAAAGTTTAATTATGTATGTTATTATTTTATGACTACACCCTGTGTATGGGATTAAACATTACACAGATGGTAAAATATATTGTAAACAAATTACTGTGTATACTTCTAATCCATTTAAGACATGAAAAGTTAAATAAAAGGTTGATTAAAGAACTTGCTAAAATTTGGATACAAAATGAAATCGTAAAATACCTTTATTCAAAAGTATTAGGACAGACTATCTAACTGGAAGTACTTTATGAGTTTTAGCTATAATAAGGTGTTGGTTTAAACATATTTCTACCGGCATAGTACATAAAAGACTCTCATACTAGTGTTGGATACTTTCTATAAGTAACTTAAAAATAGAAGTTTTTACCATATTGACATTTAACTAGTATGTGAATAAATTTTATCGAATAGGATAAATGTAACTAATTTTTGGTAGCAAACGACAAACATTAATGTTATTTTAAATATTGTGTTGATGTGAGACACATTAAGACAGTTTTGGCCCCATTTGCCAATATTTCTTATCTGATTATGTGTATGAACCTAACTGTAATTAGTATTAAATGTTTTCTTAGCATATAAGAAGTGGAAGTTAGAATATAAGTTAGGTTTAGTGAACATTTTACTCATCGAAAGACATTGCCACGTGTAACGTATTATAAAGTGTGAAACTTCATTTAAAAGCTAATTTAATTACTAATTCAATGCACTACATAAAATTATTATAAATATTTCCATATTGCACTTACAACAAAATAAAATAAGTAATAATATTCAAAATAATGCATGACTAATTTTGCAAGTGCAATATATGGAGGATAATTAATTGAATTAGTAATTAAATTTGCTTTCAAATAAGGTGTCACACTTTATAATTCGTATAGTTTTTTTATTCCAATAGAGAGCGGTTCAATTAAAAGTCATATTTCTAAATTCTTCATAAAATTACCTTTTCAATGATTACTGCACATTGTAGTGTCACACTCTATATTACGTAGTAGTTTTTTATCCCGCTAGAGGGCGACAAAATTTAGGCAACGCAATGTATAGAAATATTTCTGAATCTCCATTAAATTACCATTTCAATGATGTGCCATTAAGGTGTTGGAGAAGTGAAAGGGGGGTTGACAAGTATTGTAAAAGTGTTTATTATTTGGAATAAAAATAGACCTGCTTTACCATTTTCTTAAAATCCAATGATTCATGCTGAACACTATTACGGGTAGCCTGTCCTGATAAAGGGGTTCAAATTACCGAACTTCCCTCATCAGGTTGAGTAGTAACCTCAGGGGTTGGGTTCCTGTAAATAGAAAGAAGAAAAAAAAAAGAACTTGTTTGATTCATAGAATGTGAACGGGCCTTTATTATCTTATAACCTCGATCGTTGTCAAAATTAAAATTATAACCAACTAATTGGATTGAAATTTTGCATGGGGTTGTCAATTTGACCAGTGTCAGATAAAAACCAAATTTTGCTTTTTAATTATAAACTAATTTATTAGCTTATAGTTTTACATATTTTCAAGCCCAACAAAAGTTTTTGCATAGTAAATACTTCGTTAAAGCAGTCTAACGTAAAAGCTCTATCTTACCCCAATATGGGGGAAGATTCCCCAGGAAGTAGTAATCCACAACAAACACTACGTGCCATTATTAAATCTAAGCTTACTATAGAACAAAATGAATTACTGAACTCTTTACATCAGCTATCACCAGCACAAAATAAGTCTTTATTAGATCTTGAGAAGGAACTGTATAAAACCCTAGAAGAGTTTAAGGATAATGAAGAAGTGTCCAGAGAAATAATACAATTGAAAAATAAAGTTACTGCTTGTAAATCTAAAATAGTCACTTATTCCCAATCAGATTTTGGCCCTTTTACAGTAATAGTAGAACAAAAAGTTAATGGAGAAAACATACCGAGTCTACATCCTATGGATTTAGGAAAAAGATTTCATGCTCTAGGAATCTCTAATGTTAAAAGTATTAAAAAGAAAGGCAAACACAGAGTTGGAGTAAGTTTTAATCTTCCACATGAAGCCAATAAAATACTTTGTAACGAGACACTCTTACGTGAAGGTTATAAAATATACATTCCTCAAAGGTTTTTAACGGTCAAAGGCATTATTAGAGATGTAGGCTATTCCATTACAAGTGAAGATATTTTACAAAATGCTGGCAACAAATACAATATTATAGAAGCCCGTAGACTAAACAGGAGAATAGTCACTCAAGAAGGAATTCAGTATCTACCTTCATCTACTTTTTTACTAACTTTTAAAGGAAAAAAAAGACCTGAAGAAATTGAAATTTACACGTACCATACTAAAGTGTTTGCTTATGTTCCTCCTGTTACGCAATGTAGAAACTGTTTGAGATTTGGCCATGCCCAAATTCAATGTAGAAGTAAAAAGCGTTGTAACTGCTGCGGTGAAAGTCATGAAAATTGTGATAAAGAACCTGTATGTATTTTTTGCGATCAGAATCACAAATCTACAGATAAAAATTGCCCTGAGTTTTCCCGTCAGAAGAATATTAACGAACTAATGTCCTTTCAGGATTTGTCATATTATGAGGCATCACAATTATCTCCTCCCATTATATCCAGAAATATCAACAAATTTAATTTTCAACGTACCCCTCAGTCTTTTCCTCCGTTAAATGCCACTCTCTCTGAATCATCCTCTTCAGCAAGACGGTCTTATGCAAAAGTTACTATGACACCAAAAAGGAAAAAGGTAAACGTGATTGAAAAAACAGGCTATGATATATTAGCACATAAAGGAGCTCTGCTTCCTCAACCGACCAGATTAGTATCTCAATCATCTGTATATCAATATACTCAAGAGAAGGTCACACCAAACACAAAATTAGACTCTCAACCCTCAGTTTATCAATGTACTCAAGGTAAAATAACACCAGATAATCTATCTCCTCCGCATTCTTCTCTAAAAAGTTCCTGGATTGATATCCATTTAGACGCATCTGACAATAACAATCCTAATGATTCCGAGAGCATGTTAATTGATGATATTCCAAATACTCCTTTCTCTTCTTCATTTCCAAAAATTTAAATATAAGACAAATTCGAACTGCTGCACATTTAGCAATTTATATCATAATAAGTATTTAAATGAATTTAAGTAACCTATTTTAATTATTATTTAGAGTAATTTTAATGGACTTAAAAATTCTTCATTGGAATATTCGTAGTTTTTATACGAACAAAGATACACTGGTAAACTTAATTCGAGATTTTAAGTTGGACATAGTGTGCTTAAATGAAACATTTCTAAAGTATAATCAAATATCTTTTATTCGAGGTTTTGACTGTATAAGACACGACAGGTATGATGGGTACGGGGGAGTAGCCATACTTATTCATAATAACATTCCGTTTAATCGAATAATCCTAACAAATATATTATTACCTGACTCTTGGCAAATTGTAGTAATAGAATTACCTCCTTTAATTCTTATTAGTATTTACATAACCCCTGACACAGTTTTATCTAGGAACATTCTTAATAATGTGTTCACTTTCATTAGGGCAAAATCACATAAACCAATTGTTTTAATAGGGGATCTTAATACTCAACATACGGCCTGGGGCTCTGGTTATTGTAACAGGAATGGTTTAACTCTTGAAAAGTTTCTAGATGACTACGGACTTGTCATACTCAATGATGACACTCCCACTAGAATTACTCGTCCAGATGAAAGAGCTAGTGCTCCCGACGTATGTATCTGTCCTCCGGAACTGGCTACTAAATCAAATTGGCAAGTAATATATGATTCTGGGACCAGTGACCACCTTCCTTGCCTTGCACACTTTAGTAATGGAGATAAAGGAAAAATAGACCATAGTAGAACAACTCTTGGGCGATTTAATACTAAAAGAGCTAATTGGCCACTATTTACATCAACCATAGAAGCTGAATTTAATACTATAGACAGAACATACGATGAATTTTCTAAAATCATAATTTCGGCTGCAAAGAGGACAATTCCATTAAAAAAATGTAAAAAGGTTGGTAAACCTCGAAACGTTTGGTGGGATGATGCTTGTACAGTAGCAATTCAAGCACGCAAGGAGGCCCTTCGACAATACAAAGAAAATGCAACGATTGAGAACTTCGTGGAATTTAAAAAAATTCGAGCAAAGACAAGAAGAATACTAAGAGAACAGAAAATGCAAAATTTTCAGAAATTTTGCTCTAGCTTATCTCCGAATAAAAAGATATCAGAGATATGGAATGTGGTAAAAGCTTTTTCTAATTCACAAAAACAATATCGTCGATGTCCACCTCTTAATTCTAACATTGGCCCTTTATTATTACAAAAGCTTACTGATAATATTGATCAGGATAACATATCTGAAATAAATTTTTCTGTGAAAACAAGTAAACCTTTCACTTTAGATGAAATTAATTCTGTTCTCCAGGAGAAAAAGGACACGGCTCCAGGTTTAGATAACATATCAAATAGTATGCTATCCCACCTTCCTTTAAGTGGTCTAGAATATTTATTAAATATATATAATAGAGTTTTAACAAATTTAGTACCTATTCCTCAAGAGTGGAAATCTCAACTGGTGACGCCTGTACCCAAGCCTGGAAAAGATATTAGTTCTACGGAAGGTTGGAGACCTATTAACCTTTCCTCCTGTCCCGGTAAATTATTTGAATCATTAATTAAAAACAGAATAGAGTGGCATTTAGAAAATAAAAGCCTGCTTAATTCAAAACAGTCAGGTTTTCGACGAGGAAGAGGAATTCAGGATAACTTAACGGCTTTGTATTCATTAATTGCTACAAGCCTAACTGACAGAGAGGATGCTGTGGTAGCTCTGCTTGATATATCATCAGCTTATGACAATGTAAATATTTCAAAATTATTTAAAAGGTTAGCGGAATACACACTCCCGGAGGATATTTGTAGAATTTGCATTTCCTTATTGTCGCAGCGAAGCATTAGCGTTTTGGATCCGTTATCTGGCAATATCATAGGCCCACGTATCACAAATAAGGGAGTTCCTCAGGGATCCCCTTTAAGCCCGATATTATTTAATATATATTGTGACCCTCTTAAAACAGTAATTTCCGAGAATGTAACTCTACTAGGTTATGCAGATGATTTTATTCTAATTTGCACTGGTCATAATCGGAAAAAGATGATCAATGATGTTAATGAGTCACTTAAAAATATTAAATCATATTTGGAGGAAAATGGACTACAATTATCTCCCTCAAAATGTATGGCTATCTGTTTTAAAAATAAAGGTAAACCCAACCCGTTAGATTACATTAAAATTAATGGAAACAAAATTCCCTGGAAAAATGAAATTAAATACTTAGGAGTTACTTTTCAACATAATTTGAACTGGAAGCCACATGTAGAGTACATATGTGGCAAAGCACTAAAAGGCATTAACTTAATAAAATGCTTATGCCGTACATGGTGGGGTGCCCACCCATCTACTCTTCTTATGATTTATAAAGCCTTGGTTCGTAGTCATCTAGATTTTGGAAGTATTCTTTTCGGCCGTTGTTCGCAAGAGCTCTTGAAACGATTAGATAAAATGCAATATCAAGCTATTCGTGTAGTATTAGGTATGATGCGCTCAACACCAACTAATATATTGCTATCTGAAAGTGGAGAGTCAACCTTAAAGTCTCGAAGGAGTTGGTTAGCACTAAAATACGTAACTAAGATTTCATCCTATAAAAATTCCTTTTATTACTATATAAGTTCTTTGCACGAATGCTTTTTGAGAGACGTCCAGTTTTGGCCTGCCAATAAAATTGCACCAATTATGGAAGCGTTCCATGCTATTAGGCCTTTTCTTCAAGAAATTCATTTTTTAGATACCTTTCCGTGCTTTCAATTTCCCATAGAAATACAGGTTGCGACTATTCCTTTTATGGAATTAAATTTAGATAAATGTACATTCAATAAGCAAAATTTTATAATAGAAGCAAAGTCAAAATTTCCCAACTATACATTTTTATTTACTGATGGATCCAAAGATCGGCAGGGCAAAACTGGCGCTGGTATCTTTTCTACAAATTTAATTGACAAATCTTTTCGACTTCCAAATTTCTTTTCAATCTGTTCGGCCGAAATATATGCAATTAAAGAAGCGGTTATATTTATTATAACTGAGAATATTAGGAAGGCAGTTATTTTCAGCGACTCTAAAAGTGCTCTCCAAAAAATATCCAGTAATTGCATATCGAGTAAAATGGACTATTTAACATTAGAAATAAAACATAGTTTATTTAATGCAAAGAGTTTGGGGATAGATATTTGTCTAGCATGGATTCCTAGTCACTGCGGAATAACTGGAAATGAGGAAGTAGATGAACTGGCCAAAAAAGGCCGACTGCAAATATTAAATATTAATGCCAGGGTGCATCATAGTGAACTCTTGCCTTTTTTTAAATCCAATACATGGAAAAAATGGGAGGAGGAATATAAAGTGATATGCCAAGTTAAAGGGAAACTATATGGAGAAGTAATTCAAATTCCATTAAAGAGACCGTGGTTTGCAAAAATAAAAAATTTGAATAGAAGGGATATAAGTACCGTATGCAGATTAAGAAGCGGTCATTGTTTAAGTATGGTGCATCTAAAGAAAATAGGTGTAAAAGAAAATGATAGGTGTACGTGTGGAAAACTGGAGGATTTACAACATATTTTTTTTAATTGTCAAAATAATTTTTATAATATTTATACATTTTTAGATAGTTTAGATATTCCAAAAAATTTTATAAAACCTGTTACACTTTTTGATGTATTGTTTAAACTTCTGTCTTTCGGTAATGTTAAAAAAATATCAAAATTTATACAAATGTCTAAAATTAAGCTGTAAAATATTGTAATTATTTACCTGTTGTTACCAAATGGCTGTATCATCTTAGCTATGTAGGCCAATAAATTATAAAAAAAAAAAAAAATAAAAAAAAAAAAAAAACCAACTAATTATATTTATACGAAATGTCTACTAATAGGAAAGAAAGAAAATTATTATGTACAAGGCGTGTTTCCACAACTATTCTTATATACCTCTAAATTAAATACCCTTATAATATATAACCCTCCAAGTGGGTGGTCAAAGTGCGGTTTACGTAGAGTACTCTTCGTATTACAAAAGAAAAGAAAAACCGGTAGGTGGATATTATAATTAAATATGTATATATACAAAAGAAATTGAGTCTATTTAACCAAGTATTTAACTCTGTTTGTTGTAGGCTGAGTCTCAAACAACCTAACCTCGTTAGTAGATGGGGGCCCTCCGAAATATAGGGTTAAAAAAAGGAACCGTCTTACTTGTGGTGATTAAGTGAACTTAAGGAAGCACGATGTCCAGTTAGGCAGCTTCCTCTTGAAATCGGTAGGTAGTAGACTGCTATGAAAATGACTTCGTATTCGGTGGGGTTATCTAATTGTCTGTACTCTGTTGCTAGCACGCAAACGGTGAAGTGGAGAAGCCCTATTCAATATGGGGAGGTGGAGAGAACTTGCACACAGTCCTTAGAAGTATTCCTCTAATAAAAGCGTTTGCACAGAATTGTAAATCTGAACGAGCGAAGGAAGGAACGTACGAATGAAAGGAGCGTACCAAGGAGGTCTGAAAAACATTGACGATTGTAACGATTATGTATACAGAAGGCTGTTGGGAATATAGGTAAGTGAACTAATAATTCATTTTGAAAAACTCACCCTTGATGGTATGTGACCTTTTAGATTATTAATTTATTCAATTCACACTTTTAGCCCGATACTATATCCACCACTAGGTGTATGAATCACGAAGATCAGTAACAATATATCGGACTAAAGGAATCTATGATTTTTGCACAGGAATAAATCCTAGAAAATCATAGCTGAAATCTTGGCACATGCCACAATCAGAATCCAAGCAAAAACTGGGCCAGGAAGGAAGTTCCACAAAATGGCCAACAAAAGTCAATGTCTTAGCAAAAAGGCCCTGACTACAAAAGGGTAATAGGATAATTTCTGGTAAGACTGTGGTCAATATTTATAAATTTAGAAGAATCTGACAACTGAA